GCTGCACTTTAGAAACGGTAGAAAACTGCATTCGGAGTAAGAGTGCTGCAATCTCGAGACGTCCACAAGACAAACAGACCATCACCTTTACAAGTTAACTAACAAAAGTATATGCACTGTTACTACATTAAGACGTGAATAATAGGAAAAACAGTTGTATTTTCTTTTAAAAAAAATTTGAGAGCAGCATCTTCGGCGCAGTCGTTTTACGGAAGCAAATCAACCTCCAGAAGTTTGGCTGATCTTTATAGCACCGGTCTACGCATTACATCTGGTCAGTTGCAGTGTTGATGAAACGCAAATATCAACAGAACGCACGGTAGCACCTGACGAGTACCCGTAACGACGTCTTCTCCGTTCTGCAGTCGTTTCGTACGTGAAATTATTCGGAGCCAAGCTACCAAACAAATACTTACAGAAGCAACAAATTACAAAATTATCAATATGCACTGAAGGTAAGCGCAAGAGTCACAAGATACAGAAACTCCGTTATGAAAGCATTTGTTAAAAACAAACTACAGCAACATTAGTGGAGACGCCGGGGTTGTCCTGAAAATACTTACTACACAACCGGAAAGACAATAATTTAGGTATTGCAGGATCCATATCTTTTTAAAGGAAACATTGAACTGGAACGAGGAGAAGAACCATCCCGTCCCTTCACAGACGCTTTACTGCCGTGGGAGTTCCTCGCTAGCTTGACACAGAATTTCTGGCATGACGAGAAGGAAGCGGAGGGCGGTACGGGGAAGAATGTTCAAGCGCTGCTCCTGCAGTCCTTCCTCACACAAGCGCTTCCCGCGGCGGTGCGCCGACGGACGCGGATCAACGGACTGGGTAGCGCACAAAGCCTACCTAACAAGAAAATACAGGCTAGCAGCCTAAGAAAATCTTAGAAATCGAAGAGGCTTCAACGCTAGAAACAAATCAAGTCGTTGTGGCAAGCGTTGTGTGTGGAGCAAAACCGCCTGGATTTTCAAATACAACACTTACTCTGCAGACGGCCTCCGCGAGGAAACGTTTTTTTTCTCTGCAGCGACCACCGCCAACCACTCGGCCAGGATCCGCAGCTAATCTTCGCTGGGCTCAGGCAGCGCTCCCCCCATCGCTTCCCAGAGTGTAGACGCCCAGTCCCCGCCCAGCGGGAGACGCGCCACCGGCAACGGGTAGTCCAGCTTCTTGACAGTGGTGGATGAGAGCTGCACGCTGTAGTATCGCTGGTGCACCGAACACCCGACCAGATGCATCGTCCCACACGGCAGACCCTGCGACTGTGCACCATGCAGCGGCCCGCATTATAAAACAGGCTGTCGTATAAATCCAGCCAGCTGGAGGAAGGAAGTCCGAGCACCTGAAGTTCCGGGAGGAAGTCCGTGCCGCCGACCACATAGAGCGCCGGAAGATGGATTCCGAAATGCGTCTGTGCCATGTAGTGAAGCATGTCCGCCACGGCTGAAAATCCTCGGCGCTGATGCCGTGGAAGATGAGACGATTAGTGGAAGGACCCAGACATTTAAAAAGGGACGCCGTTAGATAGTAATAGTAGATATGCGGCAACGGTTTACGGGTGGCGGTGCTCGCCTGGATGACGATGTTGCCCGTTAGAAACGGGGCGTCCAGGAGGGCGTTCCACGCTGCGCACACCGCGCGCAGCTTATTCTGCGTCAGGGTGTCGAGTTGGGCGAAGACCTGCTGCCACACATCCGTCGGCACCGCCCGCCAAGCTTCCGGCGTCTCGCGTTCCACAGAAACCCACGGTCGGCGCAGAATGTCCGCTAGACGGCGGATCAGCGGATTCAGGGCCTCTTCCAATTCTTTAAGCTCTTCCCGAATAAATCAAATCAACAAATTCGGCACGCCAATGGAAGCAGGCGAATGCGGTTGTTTCAAGTAGCACGAGAAATTAAAGAACGAGACAAACCTGATAGCGGCGGTCCTTATAGATATCGTACAAAAACCAGCGTAGGGAACGCTTCTTATTCACCGTCGTCTACCGTGACTCGGTACACAACACGCTGCTGCTGCCCATCCGCAATGTCGATGCCGACGGCCCGATGGTTCATCCACTGCAGCTCCTGCACCGCCTGCCAGAGTTGTGCTGCGGACGCCGCACTACATCCGCCCGGCAGCGGCAGACGCTCCTTCTCCATATCGGCCGGTTGAATGGGCCGGGGCGGCGTGGTCATCTCCCCCGCCTCCGGCTGCTGGTTACGCTGTCCCTAGCCATCCGGTACCGGCAAGCGCACGCGGTGCAGTGGGAAGATGTCCGTCCAGGTGGCGCCGCTGTCGTTTCGTCCCTGAACGACGGCGCACGCTAGTTTCGGGTGCGAGTTCAGCATTTCCGCGGGCCACCAGCGCCCCGCATCGCCGTAGTTTTCGCGGCTTAGCACTTCCACTGAAACGCTCTTCCGCGCACCATCCTGCCATTTGGGAAAGCGAGCACCCAGTCTTTCGAAGGAACCGTGAGGAAGATTCGGTCGAAGGGGACGAACTCGCGGCGACGCTCGGGAGGCTGTAGGTCGATGTAGAGTCCGTTGTCCGCTAGGTCCACCACGCGGCCCGTACAGCAGGGCGTTGCCGGCGTCCACAACGTTGACTTCATCTGGCCCGATCCGGGACATGGTTGTCGGTGGATTTTGGGCAAAAGTGACAAAGAACAACAAAGCAGCACGTCTGATTGACAGGTTTATTAGAAGCAGTGGTGCAAGCAAGGAAAAGTGCAGAATCTAGGGATAAAAATTCTATCGAAGACAACACTGCAACTACCTGCATCGACACGCTGACTTCAGCTCTGGCAGTGTATATCCGGTTAGTGCCCAACGTCGTCAACCGCACCAAACAGAATGCTGGCCGTGTACATTGTGGACAGCGATTAACAGACGCGCTTCGGGCGCGTCGTCGACGTGGCCGACGACGGGGTCTTCGTCTATCTCTGTCCCAGTCGGCCACGCGAACATGCGCCATTCGGCAGTGTTTTCTTTCCGCGCCCAAGGAGCTGCAACCTGTACGGAATCTCTGTCAAACAAATGACCAACCTTCCGGTGCAGGTCCTGCGGGCGACTGCAGCGGATCCGTGGACTTGGGTCGCAGCTGAAATGAGCTGCGTAAGGCGGGCTGGGTCGTACTACTACGAAACGGCTGGCGTGATCCGTTGGCAGCGCCCAGACACGAAAGAAGCGTGCACCGACTTCGTCCCCATGGATCGCGTTCGCCTGCTTCGCGATGCCAACAGAAAAGCTGCTCACCCTTCACCTCGAGATCGCATCGACCGAGGAGCCTTCATTAAGCGCTGTGTGCAGCTGGGCAAGGAATTCCGTTCGCTGTCCACGGAAGCAGCCGAGGCTCTCATTCAGCGATTGAATCTCCAGCGTTTCCATATCAACGAACGGATTTACGTAGTGGAAATCGTAGGCGGCGAGCTGAAGTACATCTGTCAGCCGAATTCTAAAGAAAAACGGTGCTTCTTGAAAGACGCTTTGCCGGTAAGAAGAATGCTACGCTGTTAAATTTTTACGAGATTTTTTACCGTCATCTAGCAGATGAAAACTTGGAATAGCTTAATACAGCAATGTTTATAAAATGTTTTTCGTGGTTCTCAGAAAAGTCTTATCCGTCTCCACGAGGAGCAGGGTAGCCTGATCCTGAATCTTTCTGAGTCTGTCGATGTATTCGATGACGAGATGGCGCAGTTACCGTTGCCACTGGAATTGTGGCAGGAAGTCTTTTCTCACTTGGACACCGTAATGCAGATGAAGCTGCGTACTGTGTGTATATCGTGGAACCGTATCATGGATACGCCAGCGCTGCGTTCCATCATCGTCATCCGCATGGAGGAAGACAACATCCGCAACAAGGATCGAAATGAGTTTCTCTGGTTGGCGACGGTGTTCAAATGCTTACATCCCGACACGCAACGGGTTGTCATAACGCCCCTGAAAGAGCGGATCGGCTATGATTACGCCTTGATAGCGTGCGACATGATACGCTATGTTGCTGCTCATCAAACCGCTATCCACTTGCCAAGTATTCATCTACACCGTGTCCAGTTTGACTTTTTGGTTCAATGCGCCGTGAACAGCACTGCGCCGTGAACAGCATCCCGAATGCGGCCTGCACCAATCACGCTCGAATGAGGATTACGATTATGTTTGGCTGGAGGATTTCGTCAAGCGATGCCGCAATCTGCCCAGCGGCACCGTTCTTCGCATGACCAACTGCCTCGTTTACCTGGTCTGCAGCTTTCAGATCAACGCGGAGCACCGGCGGTACACAACCATGGAGTTCATAACGGAGATGCAGGTGCACATCGGTACGGCGCGATTGCCGCTGGGCAGTGGGTTCGACTGCGCGTTTTGGGATGCAGTTGAGGCGGCGCTGCCGGGGTTAAGTGAGCAGGCGCTGCACGCGCTACACCAGCGCTTCCAAGTGGACGGGGATTTCTATAAAAACCGCAAAATGGAAAACGCCGTGTGCAAGGTAGAAAGAACGGTTGTGCCTGTCAAATGCTCCTTATGAATAGTGGCTCTTACAGACGCTGTGCGCGGCACAGTCAGCTGATCCGCGTCCGTCCTCGCACTACCGCGGAAAAAAGTGGTGCCGGGTTGGTCTGCAAGATTTGCAGTTGGAGAAATTGTCGCGCATCACCCTACATCTCCTCGTCAATCTTCAAAAGTGGACGCGAGAAACGACTCTAAAGGGATGGTGGACTTTTTGATTGCGGTCTGTGCTCTCGGCAATCTGTTTGCCGTTGCATACGCTTCTCTGTTATGCGCGGATGACTTTTTTCGTGTTCTGCTGTACGGTCTGTACCGTCGCACGTTAGCGGGGAACGCGTTACGTGGGGTTGAATGCTCTGGCAAGTGCTGTAATTTGCAATTACCGAAAAAAGCAAATAGGGTTACTGGAATATATGCGAAAGTTCTTTTTCGACTTAAGGCATACCAAACGAATTTCTCGAAAATCGAGTTTTCCAAACACGTTCAGCGAAGCCGACCGAACTGTTAAAAAGAATTTCAATTGGAATGATTTCAGTTAGACTGATTTTAATTAGACTTCAGCTTCGGGGATTCAACCGTGTCACACGTTGCAGTTCGGCTCGTTAGCTGAATATGCTTTACGTGGCTGTTGGACGAAATCCCCAGTGGAGGAGAATGGCATCTTGCTACAATCAACAGGAATATACAGTTGCCCAAGCGCTGGATATGCCGGCTTGGCAGCCATTCCGGGCCAGCGATACTTTTCTGGATGGTAAAACCGGGGCTGGATAGTTTTGTTATTGTGCCTCCAGGAGCGAAAATCAGCAAATCTGCAGTTGCAATTCAGGAGTTCCAAATATTTCACATATCCCTGGATTTTGAACAACTGCAGCCTCTCTGCATGATTACTTGTATAATCCAGGCTGATACTTGCCACAGATGGCAGATTGTGCAGCGCTCTGATATCCAGGGAAAACACGGTAGTCAAATGGAAAATCAGAGCTTCTAGTCGGTTTAATCCGGTGAAATCCGATTTCTCGACAACGAGATCGGTACAGCTCTCGAACCAAAGTTCCAGCAGGTTACTGAACTGAAAACCAGCTACATCTCTGGTTGATCGTCTGGACGTACAATTAGTCAGGACGAGATGCGTCACCTGCCGACGTATGGGCGCAAACTTTTCCGAGTGGCATGTTAACGCTTCCGGCATTTTTATGGAAACTAAGTGCAGTGATCTACTAATAGTTCTCGCTAGCCGATCAACGTCCGCTTTAGGCAGGTTTGTGCGGTTACATAGGATCTGATGGTAATTGCGAGACGCACAGACTTCGTGCGATAATTGATCAGGTATCGACCAACACGGTAATAACGCACGGAATAAGGCACACTGTTCGCTGGTGAACACGTCCCTGTTAAATTCCGGAAAGGGTTCGGAATCTGCTCGTGTAGAGTTGATGTTGCAGTGATATGCGGCACTGAGTTTCGCCACATCTCCCACGCTCAGTGTGCGCCGTTGGCCCATTTTACTGTTCCCGTGAGTTTTCATCACCAACACCGGCTGCTGCTGGCTCGTCGCGAAATCAAAAGGTCCGAAATGCATAATCGATTCCACATCGTATCCCGCTCCGTATTTACGTAGCCCTGGTAATGTGCGGAATGCCGCCGCAGCGGCTTCACTACCCGTTGTGCGGTTAGGGTAGAAATGCACGTACTGCTCACGATCATCGCGTTGATGTTCGTGGAACATTCCGAGAGCATGGAGTACCAAATGCTGGATAATGCCACGCGTCAGACATGCCGGTGATAAAGTGATCGCCTGTGGGCCTCCTTGACGCCCGACAGCGGACCGGCAGCCGGTGGACCTAGAGATTCGAACCCATCAAAATCAGGTATGCACTGGTGGCGTCCTACAAGAGATGCTGTTAATTATCCTCTGCATCTTGCTCACTTACGCTGTCGTTGACTCGAATATTATGAAGTCGTTTTCGAATTCTCTCTTGACGAAGCGCAGACACTGCATCGTTTTGATTTGGATATGGCGAAGGGAATTTGCAATTATCCCGTTGTCCCGCCAATCTGGAAATGATTCTTTTTGGTTATAGGAGAAGTCCGACCATAGTAAGCCGAAATCGGCCAGTCGGTCGGCATTCAAAAATTGATTTAATAAACCAGTAAATACTATATGACAGCAACAAATCCAATGCGCACAAACCGTCAACACGTGCAGGAACACGGGCGTGTTTGGTGCACCAATGTGCCTCAAAAGCAGTTTAACCTCAGACGAAACATCTACTTGTTTTTGTCCACCACCGTACTCCAGCCACCAGTTAGCCGCTGCTACACCACACGGATTTCATTAGAATTTCTCTTATTGCTCTAGGTATGGCGCCTTCAACCATCACCCCCGTAAGTTTCTCGGATTCTTCGTTTTGTATACACTACTCAACATCGTGAGACAGTTGTTTGTCTCCGGATTTTCACTCGGACGGTTTTATCTCACGGTGAATTCCGATTCAGATTGCCTTGCTGTACCGTAAATCGAATTACAGCATACAAACTCCGGTAAAGTAGGTCGGATACGATTTTCGACCGAAGCGTAGCGGAGGTCGTCTATCTTCAGCACGTCTAGAAAACGTAGCGTCTGTGCGTAAGTCACCACCGCCAGACGCAACAATATGCACGGTGGCGTTAGTTACCGGATGCTCACATGCACGGAGGGCGTAAAGACTCACGCCACATGTAACTTGTGCTCGGTTGTAGCCGGCAAGAATAGATTGTAGTCGCACGCAAAAAAGAGCCTACGACAGACGGTACGATATACGGTAGGCTCTTGCACGTCATAACGGCGTACCCTTATCGGACCGTTTGACGATAAGTAAGACGGTAAGTGGTGATCCTATCGTATCGTTTCTGTGGGCGTAACGTCTGAACCTGCGAAACTGCAGCCGCCTTCGGCGATATGTACGTGAATGTGCGTTCTGCTCGATCCAACGAAATCAAGAATTCTAATTGGTTGTTTATAGATTCTTGATTTCGTTGGATCGAGGTTGTTTATATAAAAAAAATAAAAACATCTTGAAAGGTGATCGTATACCGTACGACCGCAGACGCCTGCGACAACACAAAGCACTTGCCGGTGCACTTCCGATGCGGTCGGCACTCACCGTACATCGTTTACCGTCTATCGTAGCCTTATGGCGACTACAATCTAATGTTGACATGTTCACGGTTCACGCTGTGAGCATATTTGACGGGCGAAAATGCTTGTGAGCATTTTTGACGGGCGAAAATGCTCACGAATGCTATCATGCACGTGTTAATTTTTTTGCACATGTTTTGTTGTGTTAATTTTCCCCATCGTCCCATTCGAAGGCGGATATATCTATGTTCTCCATACGTAAAGTATGGCTTCAATTACCGGGTGGCCGAACAAAATGTCACCCTCCGCGTTTGTTTTGCCCTGCGCGAACCACTTAACGTAATTTAAACCGGATAAACTCATCCGATAGACAATTTCATAAGCTACCAAAAACAATAAAACATTTTTCTGAAAAGTTGTGCCCCTCGTTGACAATGGCGCCAAGTGAAATCGTGTCAAAATTTTTAGTATCCCATCTCTCAAAGGTCACAATTGCGCCTCAGTTTTTGTTCTTGCACATTATTTTAAATTTTTTAATTGTTTTATCTAGAATAGCACTTTTTTGTTCAGCCGGGAAAAAATTGTTGGGATGGTGCATGCGCTGGATTAGCTATGCACTAAGCAACCTCTTGACTGTTCGAAAAAATAATGAGTTTATTTGTCCGTTTTTTTAAGCATTTTGGTTACAATTGTTTGCTCAGTACAGGGTGAAACGAAGAGCGCCGCTTCAACTGACAACTGTAGGTGGGTTATTACCCTTCCAAACACGGGTATGATCCAGGACTGCTTTCAAAGCGATGGCCTGCAAAGTGTTTTCAAAAAGTCTGCTACCCCGTTTCATGAGAATCAAATGTAATGAGTATCAAATCTTTCGCTTCTTGGGCAGTCAGGGTCACTAGGATGTCGTTATTCTATACATTGAAAAAATCAAGAAGAATCCCTCTTTTTGAAACAGTAACGTCATAAACAATAACGTACTCTGCTGAATATCTACAATTTAAATTCAGAAATAGGGAAACTGGAATTTTTGTTTCCGGGACATCACTCAACTCCACCCATTTTTTCAAAATAATTCAGGAAAAAAGAAGACTCATTTACATTGTTGGTTTGACTTAACCTTTTTGTGTTATGGAAGTTGCTCTTTCGAATGAAACTAAAATCATGCCAATCAAGCACTGGATAGGGCCAGTGCACCTTAGTAATCCAGGGTGACGTTTTGTTAGGCCACCCGGTAATTGGGAAATAAAACGTTACTCGCATAAAAAACTAGTCTTCTTTAAATTTAAGTGAATTTTCATACTATTTTGAACCGAATTCTGAATGGCAGAGGGAGAAGTTACACACTCGAACTGGAAGACTGCAACAGCATCACACGGTTATGCGTTTGAGCACACGCGGCGGTGCATCCGGTAGAATATTCCTTCCCGGCTGTCGCTCTTATGAAGTGCGTAATGGGGATGCTGTTTGTTTCTGGATAATAGTAATTTTCTCACTAAGGGATTTTCTTAGTAGCACTGGATAAACATTGAATTACTGAATGATTATTGATCAGCCTCCTTATTGCATTAATGAGCATGGTGCCAAGCAGAGATGCTCACGTTTGCTATTGTGCAGTAATCGGATACCGTTGATGTGAGCCGCACTTTGAAGCAGATCAGAGGTAATTATCACTTTGCGCGGCTGTATGCAGCCAGTCTGCTTTATGCTCGTGAACATGGGTGCCGGGCGAGGATGTTCAAGTTTGTGAGCACGCGTGCCGGCGGGGATGTTCACGTTTGTGAACACGCGTGCCGGCGGGGATGTTCACGTACTTTTAGACGTTAAATAATTCTACAAACTTTTAGTACATATGTGAAACCTTTAAAATTAGTAAATAACCCAATTTTGATTGAGAATCCTCCATACCGGTACGTCTCAGAGTTAAATTGGGGGAAAATTTAAAAAAAATTTAGTAACGTATTGGACTGATTGACTAAAAAGAGCGTAAGTTGTGCTTTGTTTTGTCATATCTCGGCATGCAAAAAATAACACGCGCTATATAACCGATATATGTATGAACATTTTAGATCGTTTGGCGGCCGAATCTAAACATAAAACAAAAGTGTTTTGGTGGGCCCGAAAAACAAAAATTAAAGTAAATAAACGCGCAAAGTTTTCAAAACATGTTTTGTAAATAAGCAGAGGTAGTAATAACACAACATAAAAATCTACAAGATGTGCGCGAAGTAATACCTCCTCCCGATTTAGGTTTCCCTGATGAATGTAATATGTAAGATAGAAGAGAGCGGAAATTGCACAACTGCTCTCTGATATCTGCACCACCGCACAACACAAGACGGGATATGTCTTGCTGCTAATTCGGAACGCTAATGGAACTAGTCTTGTGCAGGACTAGTTAAGCAGTTGCATTTTAAAACTTTTATTTTGTATTTAAATCTTAGATACTAAATTCAAAATAACTGTAAATTTTATACTAGGAAAAAACATCTCATATTAACAAATTCGGTGTATGCAAGAAAAGGCAAGCTCACGAAAAGGTGGTACCCAAATGATCTGTTATGTAAATAATGCGTTAAGTCGCTATATTTTACCGCTGTTATGCCGTCACATTTAATAAGCGTGTATTAAGGACTTTTGGTCATTACAAATAGATGTTGATGAGCACTTGCAAAAGAATGGAAGCGGTAGCACGGCAGAGTATCATAAAGCACCATCAACAATTAACAACTTCCTCTCTCTCCCTCAATCTACAGCACTGCTCACTATTTTTATCCCGGCATCGCTACATAATGTGTAAGCAGAAACTGTACCGTGGTGTTGAGGAACATCATCTTCTTAGATCGAGAATCTGTCTGCTCTGTATCAATGAGATCAGCTGTACCGGTAGAATTGTGTTGCTTCTCTTGTTAAGAAAGTGAATGAATGGATAGACGGTGCGGTTGCTTTACAACTCTGGAAATCCTGATAATCCTTTGCGCGAATAAAGAGCTCGTGTCATTTGCAAGTTACAATAAACGAAGTGGTTTCTAGCGGATAATTCTTGAGTAAATTCAAGTAAAGACTATTGTGGCGATAATCTTATGATCAATTTTTACTGTAAGATTTACCATCTGTTGTGGGACGTTGTGGATCGCGATGTATCATTTGCCTGGTAACATCCCTTGGGTATTTAATGGGCATGCCGCCGGAATGCCAAAAACAACCGATGCTGCTGGGGGACCTTCAGCAGCTACTGTCGGACCGTTTGTCCCACCGATGTATAATCCATACTTTCCCACCCCCCCGGCTTCTGCAAATTACCCGCCATATGGTACACCGTGGTATGCGGGTGGTGTTTTTCCTGGAGGTATTTCTCCAGCGTACCAGCCGTATGCATTCGGACACTATATGCCGCCCCCATTCTTCGCACAGGCGACACCAACTGTTACCGTGGGTCAAAACGTCGACACCCAGACGATAGCACCGAACTCAAGCGCTTCCAAAACAGAGGTTACCGTTTCAAAAATTTCTGAAGTACGAAGTGTTTATTTAGGACATAATTTTTTCGGAATAACAAAAAAATCGAAATTATTGTAGAATTTGTATTCCTTAGGATTGTTGCCTTGTATCGGGTGGTTTATTACAGTTTGCAAGGCAATCCAAAATCCACAATATAGTTATGGTGGACCTGTACTGGACACTATTTGCACCAGAAAGTTCGAGCATCCTTGTAGTCGAATTCCCGAAAATTCAGTTTTCCTCTAAACTATCCGCACAGCATCGCGTACGCCTGCGAGTCGCTGTGTGGAGTACAGGTAGCAGGCCAAAGGTTGGGGTGCGAAGAAGAGCTTCTAAAATGGTTTAAGGGATTTGGCTCGGTACATAGCACCAAGTTCGTGTACATCCAGGGGAACTTTCGCTGTTGCGCGCTCCCAAACACTTTTTTGCATTGCTTTAT